AAGTTAAAAAATTACTTATTGCTTGGATAATTGTCCCTTTCAGCATAGTTTCATGCTAGAAAATGATTTGTAATCTGTCTTGTAAACAAAAAGATGTTTTAAACAATTCACTTCAAATTTACAAGAGTTCATTTTTATCCTCATTTTATTGTTTCAATGTACCCTCACTTAAAGATTTATTAATATTTAAAAAATTAATTAATTTATGGTTGAAAATTTATTTTTCTTCGCTCACCCTTTCATCCAGAGATGAATTAGCTCTTCCGAACAACTTTTGTATAAACATCTATGAGCGAATATTTATCGATTGAATATTTATTCGACAATATCGATTAAAATTGTATTCATTAATCTTTATCTTTTATCCGTCATTCAAACAAACTGTTGCCCAATTTTGATCGATACATAGTGAGTGCATTATCAATTGGTCGTCGTCAAGTGCGTTTAAGTAAATATTAGGTCTACCGGAAAGTTCTGTCCGATAGTGTCACTTCAAGTTTCAATCCATATGCACATGTTGATTTGAAACATATATGACTATCTCTCTTTATCATTGCATTTGCACACATGTACTCTCCTAAATAAACTGAAACAAAGATGTCTCATGTCATTATTAAGTGAGACGCGATCGTGAAAACAGGGCTACCGATGATAATGCCAGACCACATGCTGCTTTGGCGACTCGTCAGAAAATCGCAGAGCTAGGCTGGGAAATTCTGTCGCATCCACCATACCCCCCAGATCTAGCACCCTCCGATTATCACTTGTTTCTCTCTTTGCAAAACTTTTTACAGGAAAAAAAATTCAAAATGGAAGCTGATGTCGACCAAGCACTAGTTGAGTTCTTCGCCTCTAAAAATAAATAACTTTTTAAAAATGGCATTTACAAGTTGCCATCACGCTGGCAAGAAGTCATAAGTAACGATGGAAAGTATATTCTACAATAAATATTATTAAATGTATGAAAATTGTGTTATATTTCAATTAAAAAACGGGCAGAACTTTCCGGTAGACCTAATACGTAGATGCCAATAGGTTAAAAGTATCGGATAGCGCACGAAGCCCAGTTCCGCTCATTGGCTCGGCCGCCATGCGCCAGCATATCTCACCTCTCATTGGTCACTCTTTTTCGTTAATAACTCGTAAACGAAGCCGTGGATTGCATTTTCGCCAAGGACAAACTTACTTCGAATTACCTCAGGAACCTCCCATTCTCGAATTGCGAGACATTTTTCGGACACACACACACCCTATATATACAATAACCTTTAATGGAAGCAGTTTTGTGACTTCAATAATTGTGAAATGAAAAGTGTGTAATCGGTCATTTGACCGGCGGTGATAGTGATAGACATGATTTCGTCATATTTCACGGTTTTTTCCCCGATCTTCTTTCTCAATTGCTTGACAATAGAAATTCCGTTCTGCAGTTCGTGCTTCTCAAATGTTTCACCGCGAGTGCCAAAGAAAGTGTTGCTTTTCTTTGCGCGGAATATAACCTCGGCGGTAGTTGCGAAATATATATATAATATATATATATATATTATAAATATTATAATAATTTATTATATTAATATAATAATAATAATAATATATAATATAATATATTATATTAATATAATAATAATATAATAATAATAAAATAAATTATATTATATATTATAATATAAATATATATATATTTTTCGGAATTCTTAGAATTTCTTCGGATTTCCTTGAATTCCATCGAATTATTCTCGGACTTTTTTCGACTTTTTTCGGATTTCTTCGAATTCTCCCGAATACGTATAGCGAACATTCTAGTTCTTTAGAGTGATGTAATTGGGAGGCTAGTCACCTTGCACCTCTTACCTCCTCCTCGATCATCATACGTGAAGCAGCCATTTTGTCGCTTTCCGTTAAATATTTCGCAAAACCGTTAAGACTCCTCCCGCGACCCCCCCCCCCCCCCCCCCCCCCCCCCCCCCCCCCC